TGAATGTCCTTTTTCTAAATTTGGATGGATTTGAGGGCAAAAATATGAGTAGTCCCTTCGAAGTGAGGACGGTGGAACTCTGTCTCGTGTAGTATGGACATGCTATCAGGAGAGGCTGTCCCTGGAGAAGGACATCATGCTTGGTCAAGTAGAGGGTCCGTGACAAAGAGGAGGAGCCTCAAAGGGACGCACAGATGCACTCAGTGGTTGCAACAACGGCCTCAAACATCGCGAGACTTGTGAGGACGGCGCAAGCACAACCTGGCGTGCTTGTCCTGTTGTATACAGACAGGGTCCCTCGGAGCTGGAGCCCCGTCAAGGACACCACACCACGCTGCGTTTCTGCTGAACGAACGGTCAGTGGAATTCTGCACACTAGAGGAACCTTATTAAATTCGTCATCTGTCTGTTCACATAATGCAGTGGGTAGTTCAAGGTTTTGTTGGCTCATTTCCTTATACATCATAAGATGGTGTTTTGGACTTTGTAAAAGTTAAAGTATTTCTTGTCAAAATGTGGTGCAATTCTGTATAAGGTGATGGGATTTATCTTAGAAATCAGCTACACAGGGCTATGTCTGAGTTAGGTTGGATTCTGGGTATAGAGTTTAAGAAATTGTGCACGTTGAAATAAGAGTTCTCAATCTTGGGTTCAAGGGCCTCTAGGGGGGGTCCACATATTTTATAAAGTTGTTTGTGTAATTTTGAATGTCTCTTCCTCACAAATGGAGCCCTGTTGCTATGTGGATTCTGCAGTTGGGCTGTTAACTTCAAAGTCAGCAGCTCTAAACCATCAGCCACTCCGTGAGAGGAAGATGAAGCTTTCCACTCCCGTAACGATTGACAGTCTCCAAATCCACAGGGACACTTTAACTCTGTCCTAGAGACACTGGCTCAGACTAGAACTGTGTCTATGGGTTCCCGAGACTAACTCGTTGCAGCAGCACATTGCCTCCTCTTTCTCTGGGGAGGGGCTGGTGGTTTTGAGAAACTGCTGATGGCGGAGTTAGCAGTCCAATGCATAGCCCATTATGCCACCAAGGCTCCTTATGAGTCAGAAGATGCGCAGTAATAGTGATTTTAAAAAATTAATTAACTTATTTTCATAGACTTGCTGTGAGTTGAAATAGACTCAAGTGGCATTGTTTGATTTTGGTACTTAAGACACTGAAGGTCTATTTTATTTTTTTGAGGGGAGGCCCATAGTTTTTATCTGATTTCTAAAGAATGTAGAGGCAATCAGGGTAGAATGAGCACCCTTGAAGTTTGGAGTAGCCTCTAAACATCCAAGCAATTTTGAACACACTGTGCCATTGTGAACAAGTTATAGAAAAGAACAAAAATTAACCATTGTTGCTCTTCAACCCTAGCTCTTCCCCAAGTCAAGATTAGAGACGCTTACATGGTGCAGCGAAGACCCTCAGATCTTTCAAAATTGATTTTAGAGGAACCCATATTGACAATACTTTTGACTTTTGTTTCTTTCGCCATGGCTTCCACATCGTCCAGGACGCATGAGTGGTTTGGGCAAACCTGGGAAAGATTGGTAGTGGCCCAAGGAGACCCTTTCTGTCAGTTCAGAGAGTGGGTTCACTTTTCGAAAGGTAGTGCAGCCAGCACATCCACTCTTGTTCCATGTGATCCCTGTCCCACAGTAGGTGATCGTTTTCAGGGGCTGCCAATGCAGTCATGGTTATGTAATGTGAATCACACCCGTCATGGGAAGCTCAGGCTTTTTCACAAACAAGCATGATGAGTGCAGTGACATCGTAAAAAACTTAAACTCCCTGCTGTTGACTCGAACCCATATCAGCCCAATCGGACAGGACAGCGCTGCCGCCGTGAGCTCCTGAGACTGTCACTCTAGGAGTAGAAAGCCTCATCTTTCCCCCATGGAGTGGTGAGTGCTTTCAAACTGCTGACCTTGGGTAATGACTATGCCTCTAGGGCTCCAGTGACTTCATGGAAAACTTTACTGAAATAGAAATTTTCCTTCATTTTAGACTATTTCAACTTTTAAAAAGTTGGTGGACTGAAGTTGTGGGTGACATTTAGTTTCATGATAGGTAAAAGTGTGATTTTAGTGTGAATTATATCTTAAAATGGGATTTATTTAAAATGGCACAATCTTACCCTTTGAGGACTAAGGTGCACCTGACCAAACTCAGAGCATTTGTAGTCGCCTTACACAAATGGGAAAGTTGGGCAGAGAAGAAAGGAGACCGAAGGACAGTTGTTAGGTTTGAATAATGGGTGGGTGAAGAAAACTGGAAGTACCGTGGGCTACCAGAAGAATAAGCAAATCTGTCTCGGAAGAAGTACAGCCAGAATGCTCCTTAGAATTGAGGATGGCAAGATTTCATCTCTGGAAAGGAACATCAGTCCTGGTACAGTAGAAGAGGATGCTCCTCACGTATCAAGATGGATTGAGCCAGGGGCTGCAACGATGGGTTTAGTGTACCAACAGTGCGAGGATCATGCAGGACCAGACAGTGTTTCATTCTGTTGTGCACACAGGGGCCCTCAGAGTTGGAACAGACTCAACGGCACTACAAACAACCTTTTCAAGATAGCTGAGTAGGACAAATCTGGAACTAAATTTTCGCCTGGTGTGAAAAATGTAATGATGGGAAGTTAATTTTTTTAATTGTAAAAATTTAATTCTAAACTATGTAGTCCTCGTGGTATAAGAGGTAAGTGCTTAGCTGCCAACTGGAAGGTTGGTCATTCAAACTTTACTAGCAGCTCCTGGAAAGAAAGACTTGGAAATACAATCCTTGGAAGAATAATCACTTCCATCAAGGCAGTTCCAACACACAGGGGGGAACCACCCCAAAAAACCGGAATTGCACTGGGTAGATTTGAATTATGCATTTTTTCTGGTAGGCGAGCATCCAGCAACTCGCTCTGAGTTAGTGTACCCAGTGGTGTTACCTGGGAAGGTTCCCTCTGGTTACAGTGAATTTTTTCATAAAAGCACTTTCACTTGAACCTCGGTTTTTGTGATGGCCAATTGAAGAGAACAGCAGGCAGCTGTGAAATTTTGATTCCTGCTCGGGGAAAAATGCAGCAGAACCATTAGTGAGGTTGAACAGCTTACAAGGACAGCACTATGGGAAAAACTCAAGTGTCCAGTATTTACTCATTTCAAAAAAGGTGATATGTCAATTGATGACAAACCTCGTTCTGGACATCTGTCAACTTCTCAAATGGATGAAAATGTTAACTCGTAGTGCATTTGGAGTTTGTCCCACCAGGTCAGACTGTTAATCAAGCTTTCTCTTTAGAGGTTCTGAAAAGATTGAGTAACAGTGTGCCACAAGAAAGGCCTGATTTGTGGCAGACAGTGGACTGGTTCTGCCACCACAACAATGCACCTGCTCACACAGCCATCTCAGTGCACCCGTTTTTGGGTTTTTATTGTGAAAAACAGCATGCCTCTCTTGCCCCACACACCTTACTCACCTGACTTCACTCGTTTGACTTCTTTTTCTTTCCGTGAATGAAGGGGAACATGAAAGGACAGCGATTTAATGACATAGAAGAGGCGAAGAAAAAAAAGACAAGAGGTGCTGTCAGCCATCCAAACAGATGCGTTTGAAAAGTGTTTCCAAGCATGGAATCACAGATTTGCCAAATGTTTTAAGTGTGATGGAGAGAACTTTGAAGGTGATAAGGTTGTTTTGTAACAAAATTTAAATACATAGCTTTGAAAAAAAAATCCATTTGGGGGGAGGTACCCCCTTATTTGTGATCCTTTACAGCAGGGGTCGGGAATCTTTTTTCCTGCCAAGGGCCATTTGGATATTATAATACCATTCGTGGACCATACAAACATCAATTTTAAAATTACCCTGTACATTTGGTCAAATTTTTAATTAACTCACCCCTAAAGTGGCGGCTTGGACTACTTCTCTGTGGTGAGGTGTATGGGGTTCGTTGAATGATATCACAGGCCTTCTATACCCCATGGGCTGGGCATTCCCCATCCCCCCTTTACAGCCCAGAAAACCCTCAGGACAGTGCTACTCTGTGATGTGAGTTAAAAAATGATTCAATACCACACCATGGCTTTAGATAGCACCTTTCAAGAGAACAGAAGGAGTGATAATTAGCTTTGTGCATATTTAGCTAGGAAGCTAATTTTATATAATGGCTTTTGCCTTTAGGAAAGTTAGTCTGAATTTGTATAAAGCCTGAGAAATGGCCACTTTACTTTTTGTTTAAAATTCAGGAAAACATATTCTTTATGTTTAATTTGCATCTTTGGACAAATTTTAGATATAGAAATACCTATGAACATTTAAAAATATTGCTGCCATTTAAGAACTGAGTGATCAAGAACTGATGACAATCTAATTTGCATTTACTTTTGAGACCCCACCGATTGATTGACTTGAAAGCCATTTACAAATTGAGGTTGCAAAATTCTCTCTCTTATTTTAAGTTTACTGCGCCTAAACACAATCATGACATTACATTTGAGCTGTTCATTGTCTTGAACAACAAAGATAGCTAATGGGTCCGTCTCCATTCCTGAGACAATATAAAATGTAAGCACTATTTGTTATGCACTAATGATTCTTCAAACTGTTTTAAGCCTTAAAAATCCCTGTAATATTTGCTGCTACAGGCTGTGGTGGTAAAAATAAGAACAAATGTTTTCAAATGACCTATTTCTAATTGAAAAATGAACATGATTATTGTGGGACTCCGAAAAATTTACTACTCATTCAGGCTATGGTTTTAGGGGGCATTCATCGCCATGATGGGAAGGGCGAATTAACAATGGTCTTTGAAGTTACATTCAGTGTGTGCAGTACTCCCATATGCTTAGTGATTCAAGATATCTGATAATACAATAATGTCCAGATAAAATCCCCACCACGGTTTTGGATTATACACAGTAGGATGTAAGACACTGTTTAATTTACAAAATTTAGGAAGAGACTCTGACCCTTGTATATTTTTTTAAAAAAACAATCCATACTGTTTATTTAATTCCAAGTATCATTAAAATTGCGATTAAATTTCTTCCCTCGCTCTTGGCTGCTGTACCTCTGGGGGACGCTGCTCTGGTCCATTCTGTGAAACATGAGTATACAATCCTGCAAGGCACCTGCCAGCCAGGCTTCGGGGTGGAGTCAAGCTTGGAAAGCATTTTTCGAATAATCCTGCCTCCAGCCTTTCAGGCTGAGCCGGGACTGTGAAGAGTGTGATGGAAAGATCACATCAGGTGAGGTTGACCTACTACACATGACTGGAATGTGTGGGGAGGATCAGCACAGCCTTCAGGAAGTGACAATAGACGCTAAAGCCGCCAGTCATCTTCGGCTACGAGCTTCCTAACATTAGAGTCCAGCCTCTGCCCTCCTTGGGGCACCTGAGACCTGGTTAAGCCTGCCTAGTGGTAGCCACACAGGGCCGTGAGGCTCAGCTGGTCGTCACTGGGCGAGGACGGGTCAGGGTCACTGCAGGTCTGCGTCAGGGCTAAGCTCAGGATTTCCTTCTTCTCTTTGTAAAACCGCAGTTCTTGTCCTGCCTTTCTGGCTTCCTCCAACTGCCTCAGGGCCATCCGAAGCTCTCGAGAGAGGATTCCAGGTGACTCCCGCTCCTTCATGATCCAGTCCAGGGCCATGTGGCTCCGCATCTTTTCATCTAGGGAATACTGGGAGTAGTAGGAGATGACTTCCTGGGGGCCAACAGACAAAGTCCAGAGTGTAAGCAGAGCGTAACAGAGGCACAGTACTCACGACCTTCCTTGCTTCTTTCTGTACCTTCCCTCACCCAACGACAGCAAGGAACCAGCAAAAGCAACAGCCCTCAAATCAATTCCTATTCACAGTGAGCCCATGTGTGTCAGGGTAGCACTGTGCTCCCTTGGGTGTTAAAGGGTGATTTTCAGAAGCAGAACACGGGCCTTACTTGTGAAGCATCCTCAGGGGGGACTCAATTCAACCTTTGGATTTGGCAGCTGAGTGCATCAACTGACGCACCAGCCGGGGTCTTCGATGACTACAGACTGAAGCCACACCCCTAAAAACCAAATGATGCCGGAGGAGACGGGCCAGGCAGGGTGCGGCGTGGCAACGAGAAACATACACCTTTCCTCTGGTTCCTGAATGCTCCCCCACCACCTACTATCATGATCCCAATTCTACCTTACAAATCTGGCTAGACCAGAGGATGTGCACTGGTACAGATAGGAACTGGAAACACAGGGAATCCAGGGTGGATGATCCCGCCAGGACCAGTGGTGTGAGTGGCCATACTGGAAGGGTAGAGGGCTGGTGGGGTGGAAAGGGGGAACCAATTACAAGGAGTTACATATAACCTCCTCCCAGGGGGACAGACAACAGGAAAGTGGGTGAAGGGAGACAGCGGACAGTGTAAGATAGGACAAAATAATAATTTATAAATTATCAAAGGTTCATGAGGGAGGAGGAGCGGGGAGGGGGGGGATGAGGAGCTGATGCCAGGGGCTTACATGGAGAGCAAATGTTTTGAGAGTGATGAGGGTAACGAAAGTACAAATGTGCTTTATACAATTGATGTATGTATGGATTGTGATAAGAATTGTATGAGCCCCCATAAAATTATTTTAAAAATGATGCAGGGCAAACTTCCAGTGTTCCCCCTAGCCACTGCTAGGAATGATGCAGTAATGCTAACAAATCAAAGCTCTGACTTCCCTGGAAAATACAAGCTTCCTTTGAAAATGCTATAACACCTGAGGTGTTAGGAAGACCTCCGCGGTTAGTCCTTGAGCCACTGGCCCAGCAGTGGCCTCTGGCGAAACAGAGAGAGGGGAACACTAAGGGGCTGGGGCAGAATGGGTTTGGGCTACATCCAGTGCAGACGTCTAATACGCAGGAAGCTTTTCAGTCCAGGGTACCTCATGAGAAGACTTAGAAACCAGCAATTCCAACTTCCTGACTGCTGGGTTCTTAGCTCACACAGTCCAAATGGCTCAAATAAGTACAGAGAGAACTTTAAAAATGCATTCTGGAATGTAGGCATTATCGTGATTGATACACTAATGGCACCTGTCTGGTACATTTTCTCTTCTATTTGAGCCAGTCCCTGAGAATTTCCCAGTGAAACACATGAAAATACATTGCTAGAATCCTATATAAGCTTTGACTGGTGCACTTTAAGAAGATCGCGGAGAGTGGATTCATTGCTTATTTTAAAGAACATATGGTATTTATTTATAACCTTAACAAATGTAAAACAATCATGGAAAAGTGTTTATAACCAACCCCGCATATTTCAAAGGCCTTTTATAAAAATCAAAGGAAAAGAAGAAAAGAAATTGCCAAAGCCATGTTCGACTACTCATTTTTTTCTTCTCCATCTCTGACATCTTCAAAGGCAGACTTTTAAAGCCATGAACAACTACCAACTCTGGGCCTGCCATCCCCAGCCAATGCCCACGGCTGCCTTCCCTGGCTCGCTGCATTCCTCACACAGACGGCCCTGGCATTCTCACAGGTAAGCGGCTACCTTTCAAGGTAGTTTAAAGTGGGGAAGGAAGACTCAGTCTGTAGAGGATTAAAACACACACACAAGTTCACTGCCATTGAGTCAATTCTGGCTCATAGCAACCTTACAGAGCAAGGTAGAGCCCCTTTAAACTTATGAGACTGTAATTGTTCACAGGAGTAGACAGCCTTCTCTTTCTCACAAGTGGCTGATGGTTTCAAACTGCTGACTTTGTAGCTAGCAGCTGCACTGGTAACCACGATGCCACTTTAAAAAATAAATCATTTTGTTGGGGGCTCATTTAACTCTTACCACAATCCATCCATCCATCCATTGTGTCAAGCACATTTGTACATTTGTTGC